TCCAGATTTTAAGGTAATAAAGGTAAGGTAATTTGTGGCTTTTTATCTAACAATTCTGACTTTCTGACAATTCTGACGCAATTGCAATTTACATCTCATAATTCTGACTATTCTCAGAATTTTGAGATATAAACTCACAATAGCGAGTCCAATTCAGAGGAAAAAAAAGACTATTTTCTTCAAATTGTGAGAGTTTACATCTCACAGTTCTGAGAAAAGTCAGAATTATGAGATGTAAATTGCAATTGCGACAAAAAAGGTCAGAATTGTGAAATAAAACATCGCAATTATAGTTTTGTAGATATTATTCATTGGTGGAAAAAAAACACTGACTTGTATGGCAAAATCTGTGTGTGCACATTTTATATTTATCTATGCTAAATGCGCTCCTAAATTTTTCAACTTAGGAAAAAAGTAAGCATCATGCCATGTATGGTCGTTTTTCCCTCAGCCATAAATGAGTTATTGGAGACAGAAACCCACCTTAGATACTATGAATACTCTGATATCTCAAGTGAATGCTGTTTTCAATCCCAAGGTCCCCTGCTTCTACACCGATGCTGAGAGGAGATCCGTCATCGATGCGGCTCAGATCGCAGGACTCAACTGTCTGAGACTCATGAATGAAACCACCGCAGGTGAAGTGTTCAGGGTTTAACACGGGATTTCAATTGCAACACATCCACTTTCCGCTCTTGAATGACATGTGCGTTTGTTTGTTTGTTTGTTTTTGCATGCAGTGGCTCTGGCATACGGGATCTACAAGCAGGATCTTCCCGCTCCTGAAGAAAAGCCAAGGACAGTGGTGTTTGTGGATATTGGCCATTCAGGCTACCAGGTCTCTGTGTGTGCCTTTAATAAAGGCAAGCTTAAGGTGTGTGCCGATGACATTTATACCTTCAAAATGTGATCTGGACTGTTATGTGGAAATATAGACAGAGCATTTTTTCCACCCGTACAGATTCTTGCTACAGCCTTTGACCCTGAAATGGGAGGAAAAGACTTTGATGAGCGGCTGGTCAGACATTTTTGTGAGGAGTTTGCAGTGAAGTACAAGCTGGATGTGAAGTC